AAAATATTTATTTTGCCAATATTTCGGCTGGCCGAACGCCAACCTTTATCGAGGCATTACATTTTTTTGTATACACAAACTCAGCGCCGCATAGTGTTATAATATCACAGTTGAAATCAATTAAAAAAACAGAGTTGGTGGGAGAAATTTGTGCATGAAAAATATTATAAAAAATGCAATCAAAAATGTAAAATGTCTTAAAATATTAAAGGAAAAAATTGAGTTCTATCTTAAATTTAAAAAATTGTAATAAGTACATAAAATATTTCATTAATAACTCATAAAGAGATAAATGTAAAAATATATGTATCTATTAAAACATTTGAAAATAAATTTAAAATGATTTAAACAATAAACTGTAAGAACCTTTTAAAAAAGTTTTAAAAAATGTGGGTATTTAAAAAATTCATTTCAAAATTTAGGATATCGATTTTTAAATAAGTAAAAAAATATATTTTATAAAAATGCATTAAAATGGAAGTTAAAACAATTTAGGATGAATATATGAGAAAAATAAATTAAAAAGTGGAAACTAAAAAGTTTAAATAATTGCATGTAATATGTTATATATTAAATGTATCAATCAATACCTTTGCGTTTTGAAGCGATAAATGTAAAAATAATTAAACAAGTGGTATGTATTAATTACAGGTAATTACAAATGTGTGAAAATATAATTTAAGAAATCGCGGGTATAACAACAAAATTTAAAGTAAAATTAAAGCAAAAAAATTAAAAAAGCAAAGTTATGAAATTTAAAAAACGGCACCTCTCCCTTTAAAATAGTACATAATAAGTCAATTAAAAATAAAAATTAACTAATTGAAATTAAAATAATTAGACAAAAAAATTAAGAAGATCTAAATGGTGTGTAGATGTCTGGTAAATCAATTTTCCTATTTATGCTTTCTTTGTCTTCTGCAGAGGCCCAGCTTTCTAAGAACAATCGGCAGTGTTTTTCTTTAATGTTCTGGTATAAAATAGCTGTATTTTCGAAATCCGGAGTGTGGTTGTTTTTCAGTGCATGATCAACAAGGAGAGACAGTGGGTTGTAATTCCTTAGACCTGATTTGTGTTGATTTATACGATCTTTGAGTGGTTTGCTGGTTTCCCCTATATAATTAGCTTGGCAATTGTTACAAGGTATTTTGTAAATTACGTTGATTTTGTTTTCCATTTTGTTAATTTGCTTAGTGTCTGGATGGCGTAGGGCCTTTTTTAAATTTAAAGATGATTGATAGGTGGTTGTGATGTTGTATCTCTTTAGGACTCTGGCGATGCGTTCAGAGCCGTAGCTGTAGGGGAGGGAGCAGAAAAGCTTTTTTGATTGATCAGGGGTGTTATTTAAAGGTGGAGATTTTGGTTTATAAAAATGTTTTTCGATAAATTTGCTTGGGTAATTGTTGTTTTTTAATTCACTGAATATTCTATTTCTCTCCACTATATCAATAATTTTTGACGAACAATGTGTATCTAACCTTTTGGAGAGAGATTTAACCACAGCGATTTTATGGTGAACTGGGCCAAAAGAATTGAAATTTAAATAATTACCTGTGTGGGTTGATTTTCTAAAAATGCTAGTTTCTATTTGGTTAAACTTTCTTTTGAGCTGTAAATCTAAAAATGCCAGAGAATTAATAATTTCAATTTCATGTGTAAATTTTAAAAATGGTCTTAAATTATTTAAAAAATTTGAAGTTACTACAAAATCTGATTCTGTAAGGCAAAAAATATCATCTATGTACCTTTTCCAAAAAATAATTTTGAGTTGCTTTGATTCTGTGACAACTTGATCAATTTGGTCCATGAAAATGTTGGCTAAAGCCGATGAGATAGGGTTTCCCATCGGTAAGCCTTTGATTTGTCTGTAGAATTTATTTTGGTGGCTAAAATAATTGTGTTCCAAACAAAGTTTAATTGAATCAATCAAAGCATCTGTGGAGAAAGGGAAATCTAGATTTTGATGGGTTTCTGTAAATTTTTGGAGTGCTAGAATAGCTACAGTGTGGGGGATTGAAGTGTAGAGTGATTCAACGTCGAAAGATACCATACAGCTGTTACTAGAAATTGAAAGGTTTCTGATCGTTTTTGCAGCTACTGTGGAATTAGGGACAGTGTGGGGAAGTAATTTCTGGAGGGGAGAGATGATGGATGAAATAAATTTAGTGAGGGGGTAAAGAGGAGAACCAGCATAGGAAACAATCGGACGTAAAGGTGTGTTTGGCTTATGTACTTTTGGGAGGCCATAAAAGTTTGGTAAATTCTTGTCCTCAGCCTTTAAATTTTCAAAAGTTTTTTTGTCTAATTTATGTGAACGTATGATTTTATTAAGTTTTCTATTAAAATCTTTAGTAAAATTAGGTGAAGGGTTTTTTGTTAAAAAGGTTCATAAATTTCTTTATCTTGAAGTAACTCTTCTACCTTAGTGTTGAAATCAGTTGTGTTCATAATTACTGTATTTCTTCCTTTATCAGAAGGTGTGATAACAATATCTTTATTTTGCTTTAACGAACTAATGGCTTGTCTTTCTCCTTGATTTAAATTAGTCTTGTTTTGTCGTTCTAAATTTTTAATAATAGAAGTAACTTCTGTTCTAATTTTAGCCTTATTATTATCTGGCAATTGTTTTATCGAATTTTCTATAGCAGCTAGAGTTTTGGGAATATCAATTTTTTTGGAAGGTACGGAGTTTAAGCCTTTTGTAGAAGTGTCGTAATTTCGGGTGTAATTGATTGATTAGAAAGATTAATAACAGTATTTTGGTGAGATTGGGGTTGTGTTTTTTGTTGCCAAGTGTTTAATTTTTTTGATTGAATGTTGCGAATAGCAGTGGCTTTATTTTGACATTTGATATCTAAGCACTTAATAAATTTGTCAAATATTTCATCATTTAAAATTCCTTTTAGTTTAGGAATCAATTGATCATTATTTAATTGTAATTTGTTTAAATTGTAATGACAATTTTTTATTCTAGCATTTAAAAGTTTCTTACCTGTTTCAAATAATATTTTTCTAGAATAATTTGTGCGGACAGGATCTTTTAAAATTAAAGAAGGTGGAATTATGCTTGCGGCGAGACACTGGTGATTAAAATGTAAGTGTAATTTCCAACTGTTGATAGAAAGTCTAAGCCTTTCCATTGTTCTGGCTAGGCGAAGCGCGTCGGTACCAAAACTGGTTAAAATTGTTTTGAAAATAGAGCAATCCATACTTTATTCATTAGATAAAAAAGGCATATATTGGATTTAAAAACAACAATTACCCAAGTAAATCTATCGAAAAACATTTTTATAAACCAAAATCTCCACCTTTAAATAACACCCCTGATCAATCAAAAAAGCTTTTCTGCTCCCTCCCCTACAGCTACGGCTCTGAACGCATCGCCAGAGTCCTAAAGAGATACAACATCACAACCACCTATCAATCATCTTTAAATTTAAAAAAGGCCCTACGCCATCCAGACACTAAGCAAATTAACAAAATGGAAAACAAAATCAACGTAATTTACAAAATACCTTGTAACAATTGCCAAGCTAATTATATAGGGGAAACCAGCAAACCACTCAAAGATCGTATAAATCAACACAAATCAGGTCTAAGGAATTACAACCCACTGTCTCTCCTTGTTGATCATGCACTGAAAAACAACCACACTCCGGATTTCGAAAATACAGCTATTTTATACCAGAACATTAAAGAAAAACACTGCCGATTGTTCTTAGAAAGATGGGCCTCTGCAGAAGACAAAGAAAGCATAAATAGGAAAATTGATTTACCAGACATCTACACACCATTTAGAACTTCTTATTTTTTTTGTCTAATTATTTTAATTTCAATTAGTTAATTTTTATTTTTAATTGACTTATTATGTACTATTTTAAAGGGAGAGGTGCCGTTTTTTAAATTTCATAACTTTGCTTTTTTAATTTTTTTGCTTTAATTTTACTTTAAATTTTGTTGTTATACCCGCGATTTCTTAAATTATATTTTCACACATTTGTAATTACCTGTAATTAATACATACCACTTGTTTAATTATTTTTACATTTATCGCTTCAAAACGCAAAGGTATTGATTGATACATTTAATATATAACATATTACATGCAATTATTTAAACTTTTTAGTTTCCACTTTTTAATTTATTTTTCTCATATATTCATCCTAAATTGTTTTAACTTCCATTTTAATGCATTTTTATAAAATATATTTTTTTACTTATTTAAAAATCGATATCCTAAATTTTGAAATGAATTTTTTAAATACCCACATTTTTTAAAACTTTTTTAAAAGGTTCTTACAGTTTATTGTTTAAATCATTTTAAATTTATTTTCAAATGTTTTAATAGATACATATATTTTTACATTTATCTCTTTATGAGTTATTAATGAAATATTTTATGTACTTATTACAATTTTTTAAATTTAAGATAGAACTCAATTTTTTCCTTTAATATTTTAAGATATTTTACATTTTTGATTGCATTTTTTATAATATTTTTCATGCACAAATTTCTCCCACCAACTCTGTTTTTTTAATTGATTTCAACTGTGATATTATAACACTATGCGGCGCTGAGTTTGTGTATACAAAAAATGTAATGCCTCGATAAAGGTTGGCGTTCGGCCAGCCGAAATATTGGCAAAATAAATATATTTTTAAATCCAATATATGCCTTTTTTATCTAAAGAATTAAGTATGGATTGCTCTATTTTCAAAACATATATGTATGTATGTTTGTCGGCTATGCATGTCCTCAATACGTAACTAATCTGGCTGATATATTTTAACTGGACATAGAGTTAAGTCTGAGAGTTTTTTTTTTTTACATTTTTAACCAAGAAAAATTAAAGTCAACCAAGCCCTGAGCAAAAATACAACTTTTTAACCATAAATAATGATGACAATATTTTGTCAACTTACATTGTCATCAGGTCTGAACAAGTGTACCAAATTTCAGACTTACTCTGTAGGTATATAAAAATATAATAAAGATAAAGGCCAGGGTAGCCTAGTGGACATGACATCTGCCCGGTAAGCGGAACACTGTGGGTTCGATTCCCATCCCTGGACACTTTTATCTTTCCGTTTATCATTACTCTTCACAATTCATCCTTTCATACTTCATCCCTAAGGTTAGAAATAATCGTTATTTCTCCTTAAAATAAATTTCGATTTTTCATTCAAAAGAAACGCATGCGGGATATTTTAAAATGCCGTTCTATAATAAAGGTTCTTCTCGGCCTTTTTACATTTTGACACAATAAATAAGGAATCAAGGGTTTGGTTTCTCCTTTCTTTTATTTCTTGTACTTCTAGGTCTCCGTGTTGAAGGAGCTTGAAAGCTAGAGAAATAAAACAAATAAGAAAAGAAACTAAATCCTTGATTCCTTATTGATTATATCTGTTAGTGAAAGGTAATTTGGGCTAGGCCTAATGTAATCTGCGAGAAAAAAATGCTGTTTTTTTCGTAAAAGCACGCCCGCGCGAGAAGAAAAGAAAACAGTTTTTTGATTTAATTTGTTTGCTTTTGTATACAAAGTTGATCCTCTTTTAAATATATATATTGTCACCTTTGCTTGAGACCATTTTAATCTAAACGAACCAACATCATAGAGTGCACCAATATAAAAGTGTACAACAAACAATATCTATAATATAAAAATATTACAAGAATTTTGGACAGACAGACATGTAAGAAAATTAAATAAAAGCTTTTAAAAAAATGGACTGAAGGAAAAATAAGGAAATATTTGGTATTAATATCGCCACGTGTAAACAATTGCAATAGAAAACTCTGTTAGTGTCTTATAAATATATAATTGAAATATTATTTCTTAATGCGCATTTATTTTAGAGAGAGATATTTATAACCCAGGTTCCTGGAAATTTATTTTTGAAGCAAATAAGTTATTAATGAAAACCATTTTACTGATTGAGCTATATCATCATAGAGCTAATAGAAATAAAAACTGAAGACAAACATTTACCCCCAATAATTTTAAAGGAAAAACTGATGAGAAGAGATTGTGTGAAAAAAGTTGGAATTCATTAGATTAGAGACCTAACCGAGCAATTTCTTCCTTCCAATAAAAGTTTAAATGAACAGAGCAATAAAATAGAAGAGAGGAAGGATAATGTTTTGTTAAATCATCTTAAACATTTGGCCAAAAACTAAATTTATCTCTAAAATAAAAATGGAATCGATTTTTTTTTTCTATTTCTGTCTGCAAATAGATTTTTGGTCAACTTATTTGAAAATTCTCTAATATTTGCCAAGCTTTTTAAATTTTTAACTTTTTTTTGTTGCTTTTAATAAACTTTATTTTTATAAAGTAAACACTGTTTTTCTCTCTTATAGATTCTTCTTATATATAACGCAATATTTTATTTTTAAAGTAGTTGAAATGTTGTATTTGGTAGCATAAAACTGTTGACAAAGGACTTCAGAGTTCTTTAGTATTGAAATATAGATTATTGTTGTTCATGCTATAACTGACCAACTACTCACTTTAGAGAATGCTAAAAGAACATTTGGAGAATATTCAAGTACACATACATGGATATTTCAACATTTAAAGTTGACTGATTCTTTATGAAATGACAGTAAATTAAAATTATGGTATCCTAGGAAAGTCAAGGTGAAGTGAATATAAAAAATACCTTTATATTAGACAATATATTCAGAATTCTTCAAAGGGATGATTCTAATGTGTGTACGTTCAGTATAAGATAACCTCTTCTTTCAAAAATGGAAAACAACAAAAATAACAAGTAAGAAATGCATCCATTTGATCATCTCTGTATAGAGACATTTTCTGGAACAAGTGCTTTGTAAAACTCGACATACCACCTGTATGTTACACCTATGTACTTCATCAAGGCAGGGATTTTTCAATTAAAACTAGTCTTGAAAGTTCGAAACAATTATAGACGAGTATGATTCTTTTTAAAAATTAAACAATTTCTACTGCATAACAAAAATGTTTGCGGAAGATCGATTGCTCGAAGCATATTATATATTTATAAATGTATGCATTTCTACTGTTCTCAAAGCTTATGTCCATAGTTCATCTAAAATACCCATTCCAAGAGTCTAGCATCAGTATCACTATAAAAGGAAAATAGAAAAATGCAATATAACAGCGTGATGGTAGATAAAACTGGCGAAACCGCTGGGAGGGTTCACCACTAATGAGTCAGGCCCTCCCATTAATATTTACATTGCAGTAGGGCAGTAGAAATTGTTTAATTTTTAAAAAGAGTCTCATACGCGTCTATAATAGTTTCGAATTTTCATAACAGATGGCGCGCTAATGCATCATAATAAAAGTAATCTACCGCCCTCTCTAGACTTCCTATCCAGCGACTGACCATCCAGTAGAAGACTGGGTGAAGTGAAAGATGGGTTAAGATGGTTGAAGAATGAGTCAATGATAGGTTCAGTTTAAGATGTCGCTAAATGAATAGATTTCCACTAATGATAGTATAGATGAACCTGTATATAGACCATTTTTTTATCTCTTTTCTACTAAATTTAGATATTCCTAATTGTATTATTTTGTATATTTAAAAATATATTTGTTTAGAGATTGATATAAGAGCTTTACCGTTTTTTTTTTCACATCATATAATTGTGGCGACCACACTTTGCTTCAGCGAGCGTGAACTGGGACAAAGCTTCAAAACACATACGGGCAGAAGAATGGCGGCCCCACTATGCCTCGGCAAACGCGAGCTGGGAGAACACGTCACTACGCATGCGCGGGCGTCATCTGGACTTTGGCTGGCCACTGGCGGTAAACAAGAAGGCTTGCTCCAACGGCCGTTACTTCAACCGTTACTTCTTTTCTCTTTATATATTTCTGGCTTTAAATAAATTAATTTAATTATAATTTTATCAGCGGCCTTTCCACAAGCCACACCAACACATCACCCAACAACCATCCCACATAATAATTAAACCCAAACACGTGTAATAAAAGTGGACTGATACCTTCAAAGCTCCACTAATTCGTCATATTTCATTCTATAATTGAAAAAATATATCTCTTTATAATAATTTCGCGAAGGTATTTAACATAAAACTTTATTATAAGACTTAGAACTGGCTGTCGTTCTAGAAAGGTTCGTAGATTGGGTTAATGTTCTAGTATTATTATATTTATGTATATAAATAAATTTATATATATATATATATTTAAATTGATTGAAAAATTTGTATTCAAATTATTTTAAATGATTATATTTTCTGATAATACCTTCTGATAATTACTTATAACTCTAGTACCTATTACTGATTTATTTTTTTTTTGCCTTCCGTCTGACACTACGCCACAAAGGACACTGCGACTATTTTCTCCTTTTGGTATATATGCAATTTGTTTTCTATAGTATATTCCAGAACATTACGGCCATATAGAAGTCTGATATTTGGTTCACCTGAGTAGTTAGCTTGCATGAGTGAGTGCGCAACGAAAAAAGACGATGATATAAGAATAATCAAGATATGTGGTTGGTTGAGGGACACACACAGGAATCAGGACCTGCAAGGTGTGATGGCCAACAGGGAAAGAAGTTAGAGCTCAGGCAGGGTCCAGAGTGACGGAGAAATCTGGCTAGTAACGATTGAATCTCCAGGCTGTTTTTATAGTCGTCTTAGAGAGGGGGGGGGGGGGGGGCATTAACCCTTATTTTCAAGAATTAAGGCAGACAATTGAACGGTCTTTCTGTAAGAAGGAGAGATGTTGCGTAAGGCAACATGGGCTCACTAAGCCAAACTTATTTCTATTTAGAACTCAAAGGTTATTAAATAATTCATTGTAATATACTTTGAGTCTTAATTTAAGACATAAAGACACGACCTACTATAAAAATTAATACACCAAGATGGCGACACACTACAGACGTGAAATTTACATAATAGGAAAAATATGCTGTGATATGCAAATAATTAATTTTCAAAGAACTTATGCATAATAAGCGCCGGTAAAGATAGCTATAATGTGTTGAAAAGAAGAAATTGTACATCAGATTTATCATACAGAAATTGAATTTAAAACGTTACTTCGTTGTGAAAAGTTGTCGTGATGCCTCGTGTAAGAAGGAGAAATACTTACCAACACGTTTCTGAGTTTGATAGAGGAAGAATTGTAGCCTACCGGGATTGTGGTTTATCGTACCGCAGTATTGTTGTCGGTCGAGATCCCAGGACTGTTATCAGAATATAGAATCGATGAGTTCAGGACGGTCGTACGTACTGGATCTCAGCGCCTGCTGTCACTAACAGCTGAGACGTGTTACCTGCATGATTATAATGGATCGTATAACCACTTCAAGAGTCCCGAGTCAATAAATGGGGTCGTTTGTAAGTCGTGCCTACACGAACAGTTCGACGACATTTACAGCAGCATTGACTGTTAGCTCGGCGGCCATTACTTCGTCTACTCTTGACTCTACATCACAGATAGTAGCGCCTTCAATGGTGCAATCAACGACGAACCTGGACGCAGGAATAGCGTGACGACAGGTTTTCAGAAGAATCCATGTTCTGTTTGCAACAATATTATGGCTGAATCGTGTTTGGCGGCTTCGTGGAGAAGGCACATTGCCAGTGTGTACTCGACATAGTCATACTGGACCATCACCTGGAATACACCCGGAGTATAGGGTGCCATTAGATACACTCACTTCTTGTTTTCAGGCACTTTGAACAGTCCTCGTTACTGAGCCCGTGGCAGTACTCTTTATTCGAGGCCTGGGAAACGCTACGTTTCAATAAGATAATGCACGTTTACATGTTGCCGGTATTGTATGGACCTCCCTACATATAGAAACTGTTCGGTTTCTGTCCTAGCCAGTACGATCTCTCGATCTGTCACCAATATTGTTAAAAGTCGTAACATATAGTATGTAAATATCTTTTTTGAATGTATGACTGGGAATGTAGATTTCTATTGAATGTATAAAATTATTATGTAAATTTCCTTTTGAATGTATATAACTTAGCCGTGTTGTTCAAATAAAGAGTTTCTTTTAGTAGAGCAAGAGCTTTACGGGTGTAGCCGCTGGTTT